CGTCCATTATCACTGAACTAGTTTAGGGTCCAGCTGAAGCACGCCTCCGGGTGCGGGATTTTCCCGCTGTATTGAAGACCCATTGGTGGCCTTCGGCTGTTTTCTGCTCTTTGGTCGGGTTGTTGTCACTTTGACACATTCCCTATTTCCATTCTCAATTTTATTGTGTTATGATTTTAATCACTATAAAAACAAACAAATATGTAACAAAGAAGCACAAAAAGGCATCTAGACAAAGCACATTAGCAAAAATGAAAGACAAGAATAAAGAATACAAAAATTTACAATAGCACAATAACAAATTGACGGGATGTATAAGTACAGAGTCACGTCAAATGGATATCACCAAAAACAGAGTAAACAATAACAGTAATATTCATAAAAACAAATAAAAGAATATAATAACACGTTATTAAAATGATAAATAACGTTAGTTCCAAGAATCTACACTTCAAGACCATCGTGTATTATTTGTGAAGTTGATACGGAATATTTATCAACAAAGTCTTGGTACCTCCGATGAACTTTTTTAGAAAAAGGACGAGACGTTCTTTGACATACCCCTGGTTCATCAACTTTCTGCTCATACACTGGTGATGTTTTACAAAGTTTGATTAGGAGCTGCAAGCTCTTGAATACCGAATAAAATGGGAAATGTATATCCCATATGCAAGTGAATGTGTAATTTGGTATTTTTTTCAATTACATGTAGTTGAAAGTAATGAATTACATAGCCAAATTGTCTGTGATTGACAATTACTTTTCATTTACAACTTAATTACATTTAGGTTTTGAATCAAAAACATTGAATCTTGTGTTTTCTTAAAAAAATGATTAAAAGCCATGACCTTAGTAAACGTAGTTAGATGATATAGCAAAGGCTACACATTATACTCAACCATGGTGGATTCTTTATTTTGTATTGAATAAACAAAACAAAAATTTAAAAAAAATTGTAGAAACATGCCATAATTTGTGTTTAAAAGAAACCATTAGTAAGTCGCTGTCTGATACCTTTATTATCTTGTTACCTACATTTATATTCAGACGCATATTGTTAGACATTGATTTAACATAATCAACTTTAAATGACATAGTCTATCTTTGAATATAACCTCTGGCTATTTGTTTTATTATAAACTATTCAATGACTGTATTTAGAACAGTTATATTTGATTGTTTAACAGGTGTTAAGCCAATTAGAGAGTTATTAAAATATACCTCTAGGTGCATGAATTCTTATAAATCAATTAATTGTGATTAAAACTATAAAAAAGGCATTTCTTCAGGAAAATTAATTTTAATAAGTTGTGATCAAGTTAAAAGTCATTTCATAATATTAAAATTAAAGCTCTCTTTTTGTATCATTTTCTTGTGTCTTGTGTACTTTTATTTGTCTGTTTGTCTTTTTATTATTTTAGCCATGGCGTTGTCAGTTTATTTTCGATCTATGAGTTTGACTGTCCCTCTGGTATCTTTCGCCCCTCTTTCAATGAAATACATTAAAATATAAAATTTCAACAGGTAATTACAACAAAATTTAATATTTTCAAAATATTGAATAAAGCTTTTTATCATTTTGAGCATTAAACTTAACTAGTCCAAATCATTCCTGGTAGACAAGGTATTATGTGCACTTCAGATTTATGTATGTTTTTTTTTCTCGTAACAAATCAGATATCTTACTTTAAATCTTCGTTGGTATTGGCTGAATTTGAAAATAGTCGCTGAAGATCTCATTTGTAATTACTATTAGAAAGAAATGTATGATACTTATGAACATGTCATAGAATAAATGCATGTTTTCAATATTTTATCCAAATTTTCTTTTCAAAAGTAATTGAAGTAATTAATTACATTTGCTAAGTAATTTGAGTAATTAATTACATATGTAAAAAATGTCAAATGTAATGTGTTATCTGATTGAAGATTTTGTAAAGTAATTGACCCCATTTCCGTTATATTAGAAATGATAAATAATCACATTACCTTAAAAACGATATAATGTTTTAACTTCAACAACTCAAAATGGCAGCCTTTCGAACGTGTCTTATAGGTTCGTTTATTATTAGAACCGAAATAATTTTATCATCCATGCTCATTTTAGCGTAGTTAGGCATTATATTTGTCAACATTTTCTAATTGCTACCATTCGGTGTAAAGAGATATAAACAAATATGATGTCTGCTCATGTAAAAAAGACCATAGAGCAACATGAAAAACGAATTATTTCTCAATTTATACAAGAAATCAACATCCTGCTTAAAACAAAAACCTAAATACATATATGAATGACAGCAATTAATAATAACTGGACAACAAGTTCTTGGGTTGTGAAATGAGTATGATTTGTAAGATATGAACAAAACCGCAACAAATCAATTCTAGACCTCTATTCCTATAAAAGAACGTTTGCCATATTTGACCTAGACTATCAAGTCCATGTTATCAAGATAAAAAAAAGTTTCAAGCCGATAAAAGACTTGTCAGAAAGTGAAATTGAATTACTTTTGATAGTGTATTCTTATAAAGCATTGAATTTTCACCCATAATATGCTAAGTATTGAGATGTTGGTGAAAGTTGATAAAATCTTGATTTCAATCACATTCAGGCCTTAGAAACAAAGAAAATTTAAAACAGAAAGTTCTTTATCATATGACAAAATCAAAAGCTTAAACGAATTAAAAAAATGGAAAAGAACCGCCGTGTTCCTGACTTGGTACAGATTAAAAACTGACCTGTTTCCATTAAGTTTTCGTGGAAAACCAAAATGTGTGCAAAAGTGGCGTCACCAAAAGAACTCTTACTCAGAAATGTTAAACCACAATCTTACTTTTGTGTCAAAATGTCCTTTTTATGCTTGATATTAATTATTGATTTAAATACGTACCCTGTTGATTTCCCTTTATTACTTCATATGCGTTTATGTTTAATTATTATAGAATTAAAATTCAACTTTGCATCTTGTAAATTTGCGGCTTTTCGTTCTTAACAATTTTAAAAACTAAAACCGTGGAAATGTGTTAAGTCATGTAAGATAATATAAAGTATACTGTATTTTTCGAAACTGTTTTTAATAGTCAGTATGGAAATGTGTACAACATAGACAAGCTTACAAAAATTATTTCCAGATGCAATGTTGAATTGAATGTTCAACTTTTCCTGTATGTTATGTTGATTTCTATGGTATCCTAAAAATCATCTTACTTGTTGAAACCGTAGCATGAACTATGATATTGCAAAAGTTAAACATCGACTGAAAAAATTTCCATGATGATCTTATTAGCTATAAATAGCCAATAAAAATCCATTTTGGATATTTCTTTCAAGGACTTTTTAAATTTCGGAAAATACAGTATACATTATGTTATCTTACATGAACGTTTGAATTGATAAGAATGAAAAGCAGTAAATTTACCAGATGTAAAGTTGGTTTTGATTTTATAATAATTCAACGTTTAAATTTTAAATCAATAAATAATATTCAGCATAACAAAGGACATTTTTACACAAAAGTAAGATTGGGGTTGACCATTTCAGAATACGAGTTCTTCTGGTAACGCCATGTTTGCACACATTTTGATTTTCCATGAATTCAATGGAAACAGGGCAGATTCCAAACCGTAACAAGTCAGCATTACTTATATGTTGAGCGAAACGTTGTGTCTGAGTTTTAGCTCACTACATGTAGCAATATTTTTGATGTCTTTGGTCTTTAGATACCAGAATAATCGCCGTATCTGTAATTGTACTGATTGCGACAGTTCTGACTGATTGTTGATTTGCTATGAGGAGATGAATGCATAGAAGAAGAATTTTATCCTTTCGACGCACCCGTTCTCGGTCCTATTGGTGTTTTGAGATTTTCTAAGTTTTTGTTTAATATCTGATTCGTATAATCTGAATTAATTCATGAGATTTGATGAACTTATGAATAGATTTGTATCTTAATAAAACAAATAAGGGGAAAATATACAACGAGTATAATTTGTTTGAGCTTACAGGCAAGACATTTTTTTAACATTTTCTTAGATTTGAATGGTTACATATGGTCTTTGAAAAAAGGTAAAAAGTATTTTGATCTTCATTCTCGTGTCAGATCATTTAGCAAATTAATCAAAAATTATAAAAAACGTTATAGCTATCGGCTTTATGCATCTAAATAGTAGCGTGATTGACGTTTATGTTTTGTTAAGAATTTGTGAATTGATTACAAAAACCGCGGAAGCCATAAATATTTACCGGAACTTCCGATGGTGTTGGTTTTGCATAAAAACAAAAGACACATTTATATAGAAAGTTATTTTATCAACAATAAAAAAAGATTTATTTTAGAGTATTTAAGGAATGACTGACGTTTATGTTTTGTTAAGAATTTGTGAATTGATTACAAAAACCGCGGAAGCCATAAATATTTACCGGAACTTCCGATGGTGTTGGTTTTGCATAAAAACAAAAGACACATTTATATAGAAAGTTATTTTATCAACAATAAAAAAAGATTTATTTTAGAGTATTTAAGGAATGACTGTAATATTTTTTCCGTCTATGAAGAAATAACATCAAAATGTGGTGCACACTGAATAACCCGCCTAGCGGGTTATTTTAAAGTGTGCACCACATTTTTATGTTATTTCGAATAGACAGAAAAAATATTACAGTCATTTCTTATAATTTAATTCTAAATTCCATTTAAAACCGGAGTAAACCATGAAAAAACGTTGATGACGTCACGGTCACATGACAAAATTATGTCTATGAGCTGATAAACAAAACAACGTCAGCCAATCAGAAGACGCGTTACATCCAAGATTAAATTATTACCAGTTACACTGAGATATTCAACTTCCCTTTGTCTGTTTGTTAATCATGTTAATGGTGAAAGTCACTAATAAAGCTACCTTGATCTTGATATAAAATGGAAATGAAAACAATGTTATCTTATTGTCTCTGTGTAACAATATCCACTAGAGACCAAAACCATGATAATTCTATTTAAAGGGCTCGACCATTAAATCGCGTTATCAGAGGAAGACCAGCAATAGTTCATTAGCGGGTCAAAGCAGACGCGCATGTCTAAATTTATTACACTACATATAAATTAACTGTTCTTGCACTCCTCATCACAAATTTTGCAAACGCTATCTTCAAGGATTTATATTGATTTAAGGTCAGATTATTGAGTTAATTTAGTATACACATGATTACTTGATATTTAATTTTAATACATTCAATCGATTTTATTTGTTTATGTTTATTATATGCCTATATAACGAATTGTGATGTTTGATTTAATTCAATTTTTAGTTTCATTCATATTATTGCTTTGTCTTTTATTGAGGCATCTAATGTTGATGCTATCTATGCTAATTACATTTTGTTATGCAGATTATTCTGGTAGCTTCCTATTATCAGGTATGTAATTTATACTAAATATTCGATGCGCGCTGAGAGTCATCTAATATCGCTAGACAATACAATTATCCATGGTACACCTAATTGTTATTTGATGTTGTGAATTATTTCAGTGAATTATATTTAACTAGGCTTCCGTTAAGAAATATTCGGTAAATGCTTTAAATTGACATTTGATTAATTGATTTATTATCAATTCTTTTCCGTCATAGATATTGCGTTGTTCATTTCATGTTTACTTTTATATTTAGTTATACATATATTTTAAGATTGACGACTATTATTATTTTTATTTATACTGTGTTCATTTATTGGAAGGTTAGTGATGCCTAGGGGAAAAACTGTCGCGAGGGGAAAAGGCGTTAAAAGAAGTAGAACAGCCCGTGTTACTGAGAATGACAGGACAGCTGCACCGTCCCAAACAGAACATGATGTAGTGCCGCCCCGGATGCAATTTCCAACATCTAATGCACCAGGACCATCTACCATGTCTAACAGTTCAGTGGATTTGCCGAATAATGAAGAGTCCGTAATGCCTGTGTATTCACAAAACATCAATGAACAAGGTACATTTCAAAATTTTGAATCTAATATCAATTCTGTACATGAAATTCCCAGCATCAGCAATGATTTGGGTAATAATGTTTCGAGCAATATCAGATAAAAAATCTTAAATGGTGAATATATTGATCTGGGTTGTTTATTGTCGAACCCAGTACCTATTGATGATAATTCTAATACTTTAATAATAAAAGATGGTGTTCTACAATCTAAACCAAAAGCATCAACAGTAAAGATTAATAATATTAGTCAGTGGACTGATGCATTTCTGATTTTTATTGATATTTATTTGTCAAGTCATTTGGGAGAGGCAAGAGGGCTTCTGAAATACATGAGTAACATACGACTGGGAGCTAGTAGGGTTCCCGGTTTAGGCTGGAAGAGGTACGACGAGCAATTCCGTTTAAAAAAAATAAGTTGCCGTCTTGTAACTGGGGAACAGTTGATTTAGAGCTTTGGGTACTCTTCATGTATGATGATAACACACAAAATAACCAAAACCATGTAACTAATGTGTATAAGTGTTATGATTATAACAATGGCTCCTGTACTAGGCCTAACTGTCATTATTCACATAGTTGTTTACGTTGTACAGGTATTCACCCATCGGTAAACTGTACACGATTTTATGGTGCTCAGACAAATTCTAATTTTAGGCGTGGTCCAAGATTCGCTGCTGGACAACCAAATAACAGTTTGCAACGAGGCTCGAGTGCTAATCCAAGGGCAGCTGTCAGATTCCAGCGACCAGCTTTCCACGGTTCATTCAATCGCTAATACGCCAATTAAATTTGATGTTCTTTGCAAGTTTTTGGGAAATTATAGTAATAAAATAGTCGCTTCGGAATTATATTTGGGATTTTTGGAAGGTTTTCGTCTAAATTATACTGGACCTAGGATGACTACTGATTGTAGAAATCTAGTTTCTGTTTTTGGCAATGAAGTTGAAGTTGCAAAAACATTATTGAAAGAAATTAATTTGGGTAGAATAGCTGGCCCCTTTAACAATATACCACTTTTTAATCTAATATTGTCTCCGATTGGCTTATGTCCTAAAAGGATGGTTCTAGGAGGCTTATACAGCATTTATCGTTTCCAAACGGTTTAAGCGTAAATGATTATATTGATAAGGGCTTGTGTTCTGTGACTTATACGCCGTTTGACCACGCACTAGATATGGTGGGTAGCCAAGGAAAGTTCGCCCTAATTGGAAAAAAAGATATCAGCTCGGCATTTAGGCTTTTACCAGTAAACCCGGATGATCTCGAGTTATTGGGTTTCAAATTTTTGGACTTTTACTTCGTGGACCGCTGTTTGCCTCAAGGTTGAAGTTTATCTTGTGCAACATTTGAGAAATTCTCAACATTTTTCGAATGTATCTTTAAAAACAAAACGGGATCGGATAGTGTTATACACTACTTAGATGATTTTTTGTTTGCAGGCCCGGGGGCTGATTCAACTTGCCTTAACCTGATGAGTGAAATTGATTGTTTATGTGATCACTTAGGAGTTCCTTTGGCACATGACAAGACCGTCGGTCCAACTCATGTTCTTACTTTTTTGGGGCTTGAAATTAATACAATTGAAATGTCAGTAAAAATTCCCCAAGAGAAATTGCTAAAATTGAAAACAATAATTTCAAACTTGTTAGGCAAAAAAAGAACAACATTATGTGTTCTCAAGTCTTTTACAGGCATTTTGAATTTTTGTTCGCGAGTGATCCCTACGGGTAGGGCATTCAACAGACGCTTTTATGATGCAATGTCAGGAATATCAAATCCTCGGCACCATATAAGGCTCACTGCGTCAATTAAGGAAGACATAAGGCTGTGGTCGTTATTTTTAGATTGTTTTAATGGCAAATTTTATTTTCCCGATTCCGATTGGATATCAAATGTTGATATGGAGTTATTTACTGATAGTGCTGGGACTGCATTTGGTGGATGTGCTTCGTATTTACACCCTAATTAGGCTTTCTTTCCTTGGCCGTCATTTTGGTTAGGTTGCGATATATTAAAGGACATTACATTTTTAGAGTTATTACCTATTGTATTAGCCTTTCATTTGTGGTATGAGACCTTTGCGAATAAAAAAATTATCTTACACGTTGACAATAAAGCACTTGTTCATATCTTGAATTCTAAAACGTCTAGATCATAAAGGGTAATGCATATTCTTCGTCCTTTAGTCTTAAAAGCTATGGTTTATAATATTCAGTTCAAAGCAATGCATATTACATCAAATAAAAACTGTATTGCGGATGCAATTTCTCGCCAACAGTGGGCACGGTTTCGTCGCATGTCTCCAGAGGCTCTACAAGAACCAGAAAAGGTCCCACAGTCTTTTCTACAAGTGATCTCAAATTTGAATCCAACAAGTTGTTAACGGCGTCAATCTCACCAAACACAAGTGACACTTATGAAACTGCTGTCAGGTCATTTGATCAATTTAGATCTTCACACGGACATGCCATTGTTTGGCCACCCTCACTTAATGTTATCTGTAACTTTATAGCATATTTATCTGTGCGAGGTTATGCTCCGTCTACTGTCAAGTCTTATATTTTTGGTATAGCCTTTAAATGTAAAATGTTAAATATTACTGATAACACTCAAAATTTTATAATTAAGAAAATGTTAATTGGAATGGAAAGGCTTGACAAACGAGCGGATTCAAGATTGCCAATTACGCCACAGATTTTAGATAAATTGATTTCACTATTACCATCTGTATGTCTCTCACAGTATGAGACCTTATTGTTTTCGGGGTTGTTTAGTTTGGCCTATTTCGGCTTTTTCAGGATAGGGGAATTAGTAGTCAATAAATCACTGGCACATTCTTACACTTTGTCGTTAGATGATTTTAGTTTTTCGGAAAATAACGTTTCTATCAACCTAAAATTTTCAAAAACTGATCAGTTAGGCAAAGGTAGTTTAATAATTATACCTTCAATTAATTCTCATGTATGTCCTGATCATTTATTAAAGAGATATTTTATCGCCAGGCCCAAAAGTATTGGTCCTGCATTCATACACTTCGGTGGAAACTATGTTACACGTTATCAGTTTAACGCTGTTCTAAAGAAAGCTCTGAATGTGGCGAATATTACATCGGATAATTTTCAAAGTCATAGTTTTAGGATCGGAGCTGCATCTCAGTCTTCGAAAATGGGGTTTTCTGATGATGAAATTCAGGATTTTGGCCGTTGGGAATCGAAAGCTTATAAAAGATATATCAGAATACCAACGCTAAAGTTAGCAAGTCAAATTTAATATGTGTCATCATTTATTTGTTTGTATATATTGTACATTATTAATTTGAAATTTGAATACTCGCCTGATCGTCACTTTAAGACTTTCAGGTCAACAAAAGAGTGTTTGGTTGGTGGGTTCTTCAATCATCAAACATGCATTTGTACATGCTAGAAGGTCTGTCGATGGTGTAAATTTAGGTTTGGAACGAATAAAAACTTTTAGACGGTGTTCATTTATCAGATATCGGAAATGATTTGTTTTTGTATAGGTTACAGCAAGGTTGATTTGACATTATAAAATTTTCACATACAATTTGTCCACAAAACGGCGAAGTAGGTCCATGGCTTCGGGAATCTGTTAGCTTGTAGTTACGGCGGTCAGATTCCTTAACATACAGGTTTTTTATTTTTAAATAAATCACCTTCATAGTACTGGTTGGCGGTAACAATTTTCGAAACATTCTGTTATGACAGAAATTTTCGAATTTGTTTAGTGGCGGACTTTATAGGCTGCACCAGTACCGATAAACTTGATTTATTATTATTTAATTTAGAACATTTATCCATCTAATCTTCATTTACACTTCAAACGTAGTTTCTCATGTTTATTTGGACATTTGTTGCCAGGGTTCAATTTGCACACTATTAATTCATAATTTCATTACATTTTAGTTTTATTTCAATTTTAATAGTTTCTCATGTTTATTTGGACATTTGTTGCCAGGGTTCAATTTGCACACTATTAATTCATAATTTCATTACATTTTAGTTTTATTTCAATTTTAATTATCTATTCTATTTTAAAGATTTGATTTGCAATTTTAATTTACGGTTACCCAAAGACCCTTTGTTCATGGGTTGGTAACCGACAGAAGCCGTGATCTTACTTCGCCAATAAATATATATTATTCTTAACATGTGTTATCTCTTATAATTTTATTTAAAGGACTCGACCATTAAATCGCGTTATCAGTGGAATACCAGCAATAGTTCATTAGCGGGTCAAAGCAGACGCGCATGTCTAAATTTATTACACTACATATACATTAACTGTTCTTGCACTCCTCATCACAAATTTTGCAAACGCTATCTTCAAGGATTTATATTGATTTAAGGTCAGATTATTGAGTTAATTTAGTATACACATGATTACTTGATACCCACCCAGCCTCTCCCTTTATTTTCGATACTGCTGTTTTTGTTTTTATTTTACAGATTTATGTGTGTTGTCTGTACATATACTTCAACTTTAACGAAAACCTGTCACGGCTTTTGGATCTGTTTGTGTTTATGTAAACACAAATAACCGAACTATGACCTCCATATGGTGAAGTGATAATGTATTGACAATAATAATGCACTGATCAAAGATGATGTTATGACCGTCTGTTGCCAGAGGTCATGGACGGCGGACTTTATAGGCTGCACCAGTACCGATAAACTTGATTTATTATTATTTAATTTAGAACATTAATCCATCTAATCTTCATTTACACTTCAAACGTAGTTTCTCATGTTGATTTGGACATCTGTTGCCAGGGTTCAATTCAGCACACTATTAATTCATAATTTCATTACATTTTAGTTTAATTTCAATTTTAATTATCTACTCTATTTTAAAGATTTGATTTGCAATTTTAATTTACGGTAACCCAAAGACCCTTTGTTCATGGGTTGGTAACCGACAGAAGCCGTGATCTTACTTCGCCAATAAATATATATTATTCTTAACATGTGTAATCTCTTATAATAAGAATTTATATGTCAACGTACGGCTGGCAAAATTCATATTTTAAATGGTCTTGACATGACATAGTATCAAACACATAAAAACTGAAAATCAAAGGTCGTATTTATAAAAATAAATATATGACATACAACAACCAACGACAACTCCCGAATTTGATGCTCGTGATTTGAGACACTGCAAACATGTCTGCAAACGCTCAATCCCCCCACCCGCAATAGTGGCTACCAATACAATTTAACAAACAAAAAGTAACCTAATCTTCTAATGGTCGTGTTCCCCATATTTGAGGTACAAGTATACATAGCAGCTGGATCTTTAATATTTTTCATCACAAAGTTGATTGAATTAGACGCTCCTGACTTGGAATATCAGGTGACATATTTGAGTTATGAGTATGCATGTCATTTGTTCTCTGTAAATTCTGTCTGGTATAAACATCAAAGCCATATATCATTGATAATCTATCAGGTGTTTGGAATTTTCATTCAAAAGAGGAAAGAAATTGTGGAATTTTCTAAAAGTAACTTATATACCTATTTGTTGTAAATTTAATACATATTGACTCAATTAGTTAAGGCAAAAACAAATGACTATAATCACAAACCAATTGAATATTTAAAAAGATTTTTCAGATAGTCTGTATGGAAATTTGTACAAAAAAGATAAGCTTACCATATCTTATTTCCAGATGCAATGTTGAATTGAATGTTCAACTTTCCCAGTATGTTATGTCGATGTTTATGGTATCATAAAAATCATCTTACTTGTTGACACCAAGCATGAACTGTGATATTGCAAAATTTTAACATTGATTGAAAAATTTTCCATTATGATCTTATTAGCTATAAATAGCCAATAAAAGTCCATTTTGAATATTTATTTCATTGACCTTTTAAATTTCGGAAAATACAGTATACATTATGTTATCTTACATGACCTAACACATTTTCACCGTTTATTTTTGAATTTTAAAAATTGATAAGAATGAATGAGCGTATATTTACCAAATGCAAAGTTGAATTTTAATTCTATAATAATTAAACCTAATCGCATATTTATAAATAAAGGGAAATCAATGGCATACCGATTTTGATAAAAAAAAATTGATATCAATTATAAAATTGGATATTTTGACACAACAGTAAGATTGAGGTTAAACATTTACGAATAAGCGGGGTTTTTTGTAAGCGCCACTTTTGCACACATTTTGATTTTCCAAGAAAATTCAATGCAACAGGTCAATTTTCAACCTGTACAAATTCAGGAATATGGAAGTTGTTTTCAATCGTTTGATGTGTTTTAGCTTTTGATTTTGCCATTTGATTAGGAACTTTTCATGTTGAATTTTCCTTAGATTTCGGATAATTTCTTATTTTACTTTCTTTTATACAATCGTAGGATTTTAAACAAAGAACTCATGAGTCGATAAAAATACCTATTATCATTATGTTTGCTATTATCACAGTAAGTATATCTGTCTCAAGTAACTAGTTTGTCGAAGCGTGTGCTCTTTGTTTCCAAGGCCTAAATGTGATTGAGATCAAGATTTTATCGACTTCACAAAAATCTCAATACTTAGCCTATTGTGGGTGTAAATTCAAAGCTTTATAAGAATACATTATCAAATTAAAGTAATTCCATTTCACTTTTTGACATATCTCTTTACACCGAGCGTTAGCGAGTAGCAAAATATTGACAAGTATAATGCCTGACCATGTGAAAATGAACATTGAGCATAGCATGATAGAATTATTTCGATTCTAATAAGAAATTAGAATTGTTGTTCCTCGAATCGAACCTTTAAGACACGTTCGAAAGGCTGTCATTGTGATTTGAAAACGCCAAAATATTATAGAAAATAAACTGTTTCGCGATCATAAAATAAAGAAAGACCTGTTTAGTACTTACTTTGAGAATGATTTTATTTAACTTTCAAGCGAGCAACACCAACACAATGTCCATTTTGATCTTCGGCGTTGTTTAAAATAATATGACGCTGCAATGTCAATTGTGACGTCAAATACTTGCACCCCATGGTCTATTGGAATAAGAACAAGGCTTTGTTTCCAAAGTGAAAGAAGAATGCCATGTTAAAATTCATTTTTTACATTTTTGTGTTATGCCTTCACATTTCATAGGTCAGGAATAACCATGAATTGATGAATTAAACATCAATTGAGATATAATCCACCATTTGACATAAAGTAAGATAGACCAATTGAGGTATAAAGCACTTATTTATCACAAAATTTTTAATGCAATATTAGAGCATATTTTTGCATATACCATCTTAAGCCTTGATGACTTTTTTTACGTAATTGCTTTTGACTTCCTATGCTGCGTTTTGACAAATGTGGATTATACCTCAATTGAGGTATAATCCACCAATTAATGGATATTCACAATTGGTTTCCTTAAGTTTGCATCAGTTCCAACTTTAAGATTTGTTAGTTTAAAAGGACTGGAAGAGACTACTGAACAAAAACAAGATTTTAGAGATGAATTTATACGTAGAAAAAGGGATCATATTAGCTTTTAAAGAAATTGCAGCACAAAGTGTCAGAATCAATACCATGTCATCACTAAGTGGTCATCAAAGCTTGTTATGGCAAATGCAAAAAGATGGTCCAATATATCTTAAAATTTATTTTGGATACAAACTGAATTATACTTCAATTAGTGTATTTCATTATATATCAAATGGTGGATTATACCTGAGTTAAGGTATAATCCACCAATTAATGGTTATTCCTGACCTGTTTAAATGATAACCTTACACTTTACGGCATTGTTTCTGTTTATTATTAAAGGTCGTGTAGTGACAAACAATTTTTCAATACTTTTTTATATTTGCAAGCAACACAAAAAGTTATAAATAAAACCAAGCAGAGATACCAGGTTTGTACGCAAGATGTCGCTCGAAATACAAATGGGTCAATATATTGGATACGTAAATATAAAATTAGATATTAAGTAATTTCTTTAGCTTATTTAAGTATAGAAACAGGTTTTTGTTCCTTAAAAATAGACACTGGTAAATACACCCTTCATATATATCTTAAAATAGAAACAGAATATTTAGATAAATGCAATTTTTGTCTTAAAACTAAGTCAACTTTTATACAATGTTCTATATTTTACACTTCTAACTGATACAGCCTTCATCAAAACTACACATTCAATTCAGTTGATGAATTGTGGAAGCGTGAAGAATTGTGAAGATTGAATACGTTTAAAACATCGGTGAGCTGCTTTTGCTTAGCTTTCAAGAACACATGGACTTTACACAACGACTATCAAAACAGAAATCGATGTAAAGGAAAAGAAAGGCGAAAGATACCAAAGGGACATTCAAACTCAAGGATCGAAAATAAACTGACAACGCCATGGCTAAAAAAAAAAGACCAACATACAAATAATAGTACACAAAACCCAACATAGAAAACTACAGACTGGGCATAACGAACCCCACCAAAAACTGGGAGTGATCTCAGGTGCTCTGGCAGGGTAAGCAGATCCTGCTCCACATGTGGCAACCGTCGTGTTGCTCATGTTATTACAAACCCGATAAAAAGTCTTTATTCGGTAGGTGACATTCGTGAAAAGGGAACGGGATTGTAGTTACGACATAAGGAACATATCCGATATCATCTATGAAAAGGATATTCCATAACGGTCAACAAACTCGTGATGGCGTCCGTAAAATGTACGAAGGGATGATTTCAACTTCACCATTTGGATCTCTTGGTTTAATAGCGTCCTTGTGAGCAGCAACCCTCTATCAAGAAAATCATGATAGGAAATACAAGCCCGGGAATATCGTATCAATTGGGAGATACATACTCCGTATGCAGGCGCTGCTGGAATGTTGCTACATAGAAATGGAAAGTTCACAATTGGGAAGCTGAAATCATCTCTTTTGTCGTAAAGTTTTGTTTTCAACTGACCCTCATTGTCAAGTTCAAGATGTAAGTCAAGATGTGAGGCAGACTTAACTGTATCTGTTGTATCCTACTTCTCTAGTTCGATGGGATAGATGCGCTCAACATTGTCACCTAAATTTTGATTATTTAGTGAAAGAACATCATCTATATAGCGGAAAGTAAAAAGGAAGTTGCTAACTTCTTTTCGTTCTTCCTAAGAACTTCCTGTATGAAATGAGATAATATAATTCTAAAACCAGTTGTTGGCATGATACGGGTTATGTTCTTCCCATATTTTTTATGAGGGTGTGATACTAAACCCCTGAGGGATTGTGCTTGATATTCATATGATGAAAACATAATCTTTAAGTCTGGAGCTAGCATGTCAGTAACTGCTAGTAGTCCTTTGTTAATTTATGTATCGTTGTCATTTTGTTGTTTCTTTTGTTACCTATTCTGACATCGGACTCGGACTTCTTTCAAACTTAGTTTTACTGTGCGTATTGCTGTGTGTTTGTTTTTCCTACATTTGCTAGAGGTTTAGGGGGAGGGTTGAGATCTCACAAAACATGTTTAACCCCGCCGCATTTTTGCGCCTGTCCCAAGTCTGGTCTTTATTAGTCTTGTATGATTTTTAATTTAAGTTTATTTATATATTTCGGAGTTTAGTATGACATCCATTATCACTGAACTAGTACACATTTTTGTTTGGGGGCCAGGTGGGGCACGCCTCCAGGTGCGGGAAATTTATGGCTGTGTTGAAGACCCGTTGGTGGCCTTTTGCTGTTTTCTGCTCTTTGGTTGGGTTGTTGTCTCTTTGACACATTCTCCATTTCCATTCTCAATTTTATAATGCCGAACAATGTTAAAAGAAACAAAGAGCAACATGAACGAATTATTTCATAATTTAGAAAAGAAAGCGGCCTGCTTAAACCAAAACCCGACACACAAATATGACTGACAGCAATTAAATATAACTAGAAAACAGGTTCTTGGGTTGTGAATTGAGTATGATTTGTAAGATATAAACAAAACCGCAACAAATTAATGCTAAACATCTATTCCTATATCCTATATTGGATACATAAACTTCATAAGTGTCCTTACAAACAACGGTATATTGCTGGGTCTTCCAAGTGCTCCACGAAACCTCTCTGTAAATTTTTTACATCTATTTTATCAGCAATCAAAACTGGGCTCCAAAGTTATTGTGAAACTGCCTATTCTAGAGGTGGCGTGAATCAGATGTGGATACTAAAAATTCCAAAGATCTTTTAGAGTACATACAATTTAAGACTCTCTCATCTTGCAATAGTATTAAAACATTTGACTTTTCTACACTTTACACAAGTATTCCCCATTCCAAACTAAAAGACAAATTGAAAGAGTTGGTACTACATTGTTTCATTAAAAAGAATGGCGAACGTAGATACAAGTATCTTGTCTTGGGGAGGGATAAATCCTACTTCGTAAAGATTCACTCGGATTCAAACAAAAAATTCTCTGAAACTGACATTATCAAGATGCTTGATTTCTTGATTGACAACATATTTGTTACGTTTGGAGGACGTGTTTTTCAACAGACTGTCGGAATTCCGATGGGAACCAATTGTGCCCCTCTTCTTGCCGACTTGTTTCTTCTTTATTATTATGAAGCTGATTTCATACAGGAACTTCTTAGGAAGAAAGATAAGAAGTTAGCAATATCCGTTAACTTTACGTTCCGCTATATAGATGATGTTCTCTCACTGAACAATACAAAATTTGGTGACTATGTTGAACGAATCTATCCCATCGAACTAGAAATGAAGGATACTACAGATACAGTTAAGTCTGCCTCATATCTTGACATACATCTAGAACATGACAACGAGGGTCGGTTGAAAACAAAACTTTACGACAAAAGAGATGATTACAGCTTCCCAATTGTGAACTTTCCATTTCTATGTAGCAACATTCCAGCAGCGCCTGCATACGGAGTATATATCTCCCAATTGATACGATATTCCCGGGCTTGTATTTCCTATCATGATTTCCTTGATAGAGGGTTGCTGCTCACAAGGAAGCTATTAAACCAAGAGTTCCAAATGGTGAAGTTGAAATCATCCCTTCGTAAATTTTACGGACGCCATCACGAGTTGGTTTACCGTTATAGAATAATCGTTTCACAGATGATATCGGATATGTTCCTTATGTCGTAACTACAATCGCGTTCCCTTTTCACGAATGTGACCTACCGAATTAGAATATTTACCGGATTTGTAATAACATGAGCAACACGACGGATGTCACATGTGGAGCAGGATCTGCTTACCCTTCCGGAGCACGTGAGATCACCCCCAGTTTTTGGTGGGGTTCGTGTTGCTTAGTCTTTAGTTTTCTATGTTGTGTCATCTGTACTTTTATTTGTCTGTTTGTCTTTTTATTTTTGGCCATGGCGTTGTCAGTTTCTTTTTTCGATCTATGAGTTTGACTGTCCCTCTGGTATCTTTCGTCCCTCTTCTACAAAAGAACGTTTGTAGCGTATCGACTAAGTTTGAAAAGGAGTGAATTCGCTGATTGCCATATTTAACACAGACTATCAAGTTCGTGTTATAATGATATTCTAGGTTAATAAAAGACTACTCAGAACGTGAAACGAAATTAATTTTGATAATGTATTCTTATAAACCTTGAATTTACATCCGCAATAGGCTAAGTATTGAAATTTTTGTGTAAGTTGATAAAATCTTGATTTCATTCAAATCTAGGCCTTAGAAACGAATCGCGCAGGCTTCGACAAACTTGTTACTTCAGTCAGATATACTAACTGTTATAATAGCAATGTATAGAAGAAGTAAAATAACACAATTTTCCTAAATCCAAGGAAAATTGAAACTGAAATATTCTTTAGGGAATGACCAAATCAAAAGCGTAAATATATCAAACGACTGAAAACGACTGCCATATTCCTGACTTAGTACAGGTTGAAATTTGACCTGTTTGCATTGAATGTTCGTGGAAAATCAAAATGTGTCCAGTAAGTGGTGTCACCAAAAAAAAAAGCGTATTCGTGAATGTTCAACCTCAATCTTACTTTTTTGTCAAAATGTCCTTTGTTAAACTTGATATCAATTTCTTTTGTAATGTTCGTATGCAATTGATTTCCCTTTATTGATACATATGCGATTATGTTTAATTATTATAGAAAAAAAATTAACTTTGCATGTGGTAAATGTACGGCCATTTATACTTCTTAATCTTTAAAAATCAAAAATAAACTGAAAATGTGTTAGGTCATGTAAGATAACATAATGTATACTGTATTTTCCGAAATTTAAAAGGTCTATGAAAGAAATATCCAAAATGGATTTTTATTTGCTATTTATAATTAATAAGATTATCATGGAAATTTTTAAATCGATGTTTAACTTTTGCAATATCATAGTTCATGCTACGGTTTCAACAAGTAAGATGATTTTTAGGATACCATAGAAATCAACATAACATACGGGGAAAGTTGAACATTCAATTCAACATTGCATCTGGAAATGATATATGGTAAGCTTATCTTTCTTGCACACATTTCCATACAGACTATTTAAAAAATCTTTTTAAATATTCAATTGGTTTCAATTGTGATTATAGTCATTTGTTTTTGCCTCAAATCAATGAGTCAATAGGTATTTAATTTACAACAAATAGGGTATATAAGTTGCCTTAAAAACAATTCATATCTGTTTTGAATGAAAAATCCAAACACCAGATGTATTATAAATGATATTGCTTCTGATTTTTCTACCAGACAGAATTTACACAGAACAAATGACATGCATACTTATAAATTAAATATGTCATCTGATATTACATGTCAGGAGCTTGTAATTCGTTCGATTTTGTTGTTAAACATAATTTACAGATCGAATTGCTATGTATACTTGTAACTGAAATATGTTGATTGTTTGTTGTTAATTATATTGCGCTGGTAGACACTATTGCTTGTGGGGGGATTGAGCGTTTGCAGACATATTTGACCCAGTGTCTCAAGTCATGAGCTTCAAATTTGAGAGTTGTCGTTGGTTGTTGTCTGTCATATATATATTTTTTTTTATTATAAATAAGACTTTTGATTTTTTTTTTTTTTATTTCTTTGATACTTTGTCATGTCAGGACTATTTAAAATATGGATTTTTTTGGATTTTTGATTTTTTTTTTGGTTGATTAAACAACTTTCTATATAAATGTGTCTTTTGTTTATATGCAAAAACCACATTATCGCAAGTTCCAGTAAATTTTTAAGGCCTCCGCGGTTTTTTTAATCAATATTCCAATGCGAAACAAAAACACGTCAAACACGATACTGTTTAGATACATTAAACCGGTAGCAATAACGTTTTCTACGATTTCTGATGAATTTGCTAAATGATCTGATATAAGAAGGAGGAACACAATTCTTTTTACCGTAATTCAGAGACGACATGTTACCATCAAAATCTAAGAGAATGTAAACAAAATGTCTAGCCAGTAAGCTAAAACAAATTTTATTTGTTGTATATTTCCCCTCGTTTTTTATTAACATACAAATCTATCCATAAGTTCATCAAATCTCATGAATTAATTCAGATTATACGAATCAGATATCAAACAAAAAATTAGAAAATCTCAAAAACACCAATAGGACCGAGAACGGATGCGTCGACAGGATGAAATTCTTCTTCTATGCATTCATCTCCTCAAAGCAAATCAACAATCAGTCAGAACTGTCGCAATCAGTACAATTACAGATACGGCGACTATTATGGTATCTAAAGATCAAAGACATCGAAAATATTGCTAGTGAGTTTAGACTCAGACAAATCGTTTCGGTCGACATATTAGTTATGATGACTATCGGACTCATGAAATGTCTTGTTGGGCAGTCTTTGTGTAAGGAGTACAAAATGGGGAAAATAATAGTAAAACGTTTTATTTGAGATAGCAAAAAGCAAATACACAAACCTGAGAACATCTAGTGACAACACATTGCAACATGCATACTGCCACATAACAATGCAATACTAGTAAATGATTGTATTAGTGAACTGTATTTAAATGAAACCTTTAAAAGCTATGATTATGATAATGTAATAATGGTAATTATTGAGTGTTGGGATCTATATCTCATAAACCTGTTACATTGTATAATTACATATTAATTGGTTTCTTCCGTGAGAACAGTAACTGTAATATAAGAAATACATAATATATTTGAGAGTTAAGCATATGCTGCACGTGATAATAATTTTTGGATAAGTCCATAAAGCAATCCGGTTATGTTAGAGTGATAATCTATCAATTTCTTAAATTCATTGTTTAAAGAGAAATATTTTTGGAAGGGTTGTAGAGACTGCTTATTTAGAAATGTCAATTTTGATTGAGTTGTTTGACACCAATTGGATAAATATATATATGTATTTTCATTATTTAGGTATTTGTTAGGAGTGTATCTACCTGTATATATTTTAATAAAGATAATATCTGTTTCTATATCTAAAGAAAATTCAATGTTCACGTGATATCACATATAAAGGACAAAGCAGTACCGTACACTAAGCTATAAATGGCTCACTTAATATATGAATCAAAACATGAATCCATTCAAAGGGGAAAATCAACTGCCTGATTAATGCTTAAATCAACAAACAAAACTGGCAGACGGAATCATGACAACAACTGACGTATACAAATGCTACAAATGTACTGTGTCTTCTTCCTGTTCACACTTTTAAAAATCATTATTCCTTCTATTCCCACATGCAAATCATAATAGATGTTTTGATAAATACTTTTTTTTTATAATAAATCTTTATCTCGTAAACCTGTTATTTTTGATAATTACGTATTAATTGGTTTCTTCCGTGAGAACAGTAACTGTAATATAAGAAATACATAATATAGTTGAGAGTTAAGCATATGCTGCATGTAATAATAATTGTTTGGATAAGTCCAAAAAGCAATCCGGTTATGTTTGAGTGATAATCTATCAATTTCTTAAATTCATTGTTTAAAGAGAAATATTTTTGGAAGGGTTGTAGAGACTGCTTATTTAGAAATGTCAATTTTGATTGAGTTGTTTGACACCAATTGGATAAATATATATATGTATTTTCATTATTTAGGTATTTGTTAGGAGTGTATCTACCTGTATATATTTTAATAAAGATAATATCTGTTTCTATATTTAAAGAAAATTCAATGTTCACGTGATATCACATATAAAGGACAAATCAGTACCGTACACTAAGCTATAAATGGCTCACTAAATATATGAATCAAAACATGAATCCATTCAAAGGGGAAAATCAACTGCCTGATTAATGCTTAAATCAACAAACAAGACTGGCAGACGGAATCATGACAACCACTGACGTATACAAATGCTACAAATGTACGGTGTCTTCTTCCTGTTCACACTTTTAAAAATCATTATTCCTTCTATTCCCACATGCAAATAATAATAGATGTTTTGATAAATACTTTTTTTTTATAATAAATCTTTATCTCGTAAACCTGTTATATTTGATAATTACATATTAATTGGTTTCTTCCGTGAGAACAGTAACTGTAATATAAGAAATACATAATATATTTGAGAGTTAAGCATATGCTGCATGTGATAATAATTGTTTGGATAAATCCAAAAAGCAATCCGGTTATGTTTGAGTGATAATCTATCAATTTCTTAAATTCATTGTTTAAAGAGAAATATTTTTGGAAGGGTTGTAGAGACTGCTTATATAGAAATATCGATTTTGATTGAGTTGTTTGACACCAATTGGATAAATATATATATGTATTTTCATTATTTAGGTATTTGTTAGGAGTGTATCTACCTGTATATATTTTAATAAAGATAATATCTGTTTCTATATTTAAAGAAAATTCAATGTTCACGTGATATCACATATAAAGGACAAAGCAGTACCGTACACTAAGCTATAAATGGCTCACTAAATATATGAATCAAAACATGAATCCATTCAAAGGGGAAAATCAACTGCCTGATTAATGCATTAATCAACAAACAAGACTGGCAGATGGAATCATGACAATCACTGACGTATACAAATGCTACAAATGTACGGTGTCTTCCTCCTGTTCCCACTTTTAAAAATCATTAATCCTTCTATTCTCACATTCAAATAATAATAGATGTTTTGATAAATATTTGTTTTTTTATAAAAATTAAGGTTAATTAAGAATTCACCTATAACAAAAAACATTTTAATACACTGTTTACTTGTAACTTTTGTTTTCTTTCTCAAAGAATTACTTTAAAATCTTTAAAGATTAAGTCCGATAAGTAGAAGTAAAATTAAACAATCATTGAATTTGTAAACTTAAAAAATTGTCATCCGAACAAATAAATTGATGACAGATAATATCATAATAAACGTTCCAATCTGGCAAGATTTCAATGTACAACAAACCCAAGAAGAACCTACTAGTTTTACCGAAAACTGTTGATGAAATCAACATAGATGGTATTTGGGCATGAACTAGGAAAGGTTACCCATCCCTGCTAACAGACGGGCGTATGTTAATCTTCAGTACTCAAAAGAACCTAACACACTTAGCAGCTGTAGATATTATATAGGGTGATGGTACATTTTACTCATGTCCGAGCCTATTTTTCCAACTGTAAACATTTCACGCAATGGTTGACGGCGAAATATATCACTGGTACATAGTTTACTTCCTGGACTATTTTGTAGTCGACATCTGAAACATGTGAAATGCAGCATATTCTGTTATTCCTGGCATCAACGCAAATGGCAGTATTTGTTACACTTCACACGATGCATCTTGAGAAAAGCACAAGAGACAGGGATTCATGCTCAGTCCACGGAAGACAACAACATTCATCAACTAGTACGCCGTGCCGCTGTCCTTCCGTTTGTACCTACTGCTCAGGTGTGATTTAATGCCTTAACCGACATAGATCAGATTGATACTTACATCAACTACACGCCCTTGACAGACTATGTAACAACATTCACGGTCGAACAAAACAGTCACCTTTGGAACCTTTAAACAACACAGGGATCAAAGACTACACATCATCTAGAGGGATTGCACAGCAACATGAAGAAACATGTCCAGCGCCCAAGTCCAAAAATATTTAAACTAACAATACTACTGAAACATGCAAAAGCTTTGAACGCCCTGAAACAAATGTACATTAACTTTATGATTATGAAATAAAACTTTGAAATAGAAAAAGCAAGCCCAATATGAATGTATTACGTTTTTTCGTTAGAGACCAATGAGATAAAATAAACACTTCATCATCTTATATCTTCACCTGAAGTCTGACTTCCAGCTTAAAAAACTATTTTTTTATGAGAATTAAAAGGTTTAAACCTGTGTAACTTAGGTTTTTGCAATATTAAAGTCCTGTCTGAAGTTGTAATTGCTACACTGGTGCTACGCCACTACAATTAGTTCACAGTGAGTTTGCTGACATTCGATGTTTTCTCTAGATTATATGGCCGTATCACACGGACTGAAACCTACATGGG